AAGTCAAATAGGATGTATTTTCCTGCAGTGATACTGCACAGCTACATACATCTGCTGGCACCGCCGCCATCTTCTGCAGTCTATAGTAAGTGTTAAGCCCTACCAATGGCTGGAAATAATACTTTTAGGTTTAAGCCAGTAATTCATGACATACTTTAATAACCTAAGTTTTCATGACATGCTGTTTATCAGTAGATAGAATGATTAAAGTCAGAACAAAATTTGCTAACAACAATCATTCTTAGATATCACTTGTGTTTATCTTTGTGTTTTCCCTTGACCTAACATTTCCTTAGGATGAAATCTTGCTTTATTAAGATGACATAATAGTGTTTGTTAAACAGTATATATGAGGCCTCAACTGCCTCAGAGAAGGAGAAGCAGGAGCAGAGAGCAGGGGGACAGTCTGATGTTGTTTTCTGCGTTCCTGTTGTTGCAATAAAACTCAGCTGATCATTCCACAGAGTGCCTTCATTCTTGGACCACGTATTTCTATCTTTGTTAAATAAATATTTCCATAACAGTCACAGATTCTGTTCATAACTTTTATGGACAGAATTTCTAGGCACAGCCACGGTGTTGAGGGGATCCATTTTGGTGACCTTAGGATCATGTCTCTGCTTGTTGTGGATGATGTGGTCCTGTTGGCTTCATCAGATCGTGATCTCCAGCTCTCACTGAAGCGGTTCACAGCCGAGTGTGAAGCAGCCGGGATGAGGATCAGTGCCTCCAAATCCGAAACCATGGTCTTGAGTCGGAAAAGGGTAGGGTGCCTTCTCTGGGTCGGGGAGGAGGTCCTGCCCCAAGTGGAGGAGTTTAAGTACCTCAGGGTCTTGTTCACGAATGAGGGAAAAACGGAGTGGGAGATTGACAGGTGGATTGGTGTTGCATCTGCAGCGATGCAGGTGCTGTACCAGTCTGTCATGGTGAAGCAAGCACTGAGCCAGAAGCTGAAGCTCTCGATTTACCAGTCAGTCTACGTTCCTATCCTCATCTATGGTCACGAGCTTTGGGTAGTGACCGAAAGAACGAGATTGCGGATACAAGCGGCCAAAATGAGTTTCCTCTGCAGGGTGTCTGGGCTCTCCCTTAGAGATAGGGTGAGAAGCTCAGTCATCCAGGAGGGACTCAGAGTAGAGCCGCTGCTCCTCCACATCGAGAGGAGCCAGTTGAGGTGGTTCATCTGGTTAGGATGCCTCCTGGACGCCTCCCTGGTGAGGTGTTCCGGGCACGTCCCACTGGGAGGAGGCCCAAGGGAAGGCTCAGGACACGCTGGAGGGACTATGTTTCTCAGCTGGACTGGGAATGCCTTGGGATTCCCCCAGAAGAGCTGGCCCAAGTGGCTGGGGAGAGGGAAGTCTGGGTCTCTCTGCTTAGGCTGCTGCCCCCAAGACCCGACCCCGGATAAGAGGAAGAAAACGGATGGATGGACAGACAACTGTCTGACATGAGAGAGAAGTGGTGGATTGTGGAATGCAGCGTTGCTTTTTTAACGACTTTGTTGCTGTATTTAGTGAGTTTTCAGACACCTCTAGTGACTGTTTTTAAGAAAAGAGAGTAGCAAAAAAATACAGAGACTCTTTTTCTGGTGTTATTGAGACTTTTAGAGACTCTGACATGAACACAGCTCTCTGATGAGCAGCAGGTGTTGTTATGAGCTCCTCCCCGGTCCCAAAGCACTGACAGGCAGCTCAGTCCTGTCCCTCCAAGCTGCAGGCAGATTCAACCCCTCCAGACTCTAGGTAAAATTAACCACAGCAATAAAATAAGTTTGTCTCTTTTTCAACACTTTTACATTGGATTGCATCAACTCTGTTACATTACAGCTTCCGTGAGATCTGAACGCCTACATTGCCATAAAGGAAGCTTTACTCCTGTGAAACTTAAATCTATTGATCTGTAATTGACTCTGTGGCTTTCCTAAGAACACAAATATGTGACAAAAGAAAAAATGAACTTTGGAACTGAAATTGAAATATATAACTGAAAGGGAAACTAGTCAAACTGAATTTTTTATGCAACAAAATACAGTTTCAAAGCAAATGAATTCGGATTCAAACCATTAAATTCTGTTTCAGTTTAGTGAAATTCCTTTTCAAACAAATGCATTTAATTTCAAATTATGCACAGATTCAATCTGAGTAATTCAGTTTCTGCTGGAATAAGTTTCTTCCCATACCTTATTTCCAATGAAGTTGGGACTTTGTGTAAAACATAAATAAAAACAGAATACAATGACTTGCAAATAGTTTCAAGCTATATTCAATTAAATACACAAAAAAGACAAGATATTTAAAAACGGATAAACTTTCTACTTTGCAAATATTCACTTATTTTGAACTTGTTGCTGCAACAGGTTCTAATAAAGCTGTACAGGGTCATGTTTCCTCTGTGTTCCATCAGCTTTCCTTCTAACAACACAAATGTTTGTGAACTGAGGACACTGATAGTTGAAGCTTTTAGCTGAACTCTTTCATTCTTGTTGGACTATTTTCTCACAGTTGTTCACAAAGTGGTGAACCTCACCCCAACCTCGACTGTGAACGACTGAACCTTTCAGGGATACTCCCTTTATACCCAATCATGACAGTCACCTGTTTCTAATTTACCTGTTCACCTGTGGAATGCTCCAAACTGTTTTTTTTTTTTAAATTCCTCAACTTTCCCTGTTTTTTGTTGCCCCTGTCCCAGATTTTTTGGAATGGGTTGCAGAATATTTGTAAAAAAAAAACAATAAAGTTTATCTATTTGAAGATTAAATATCTTGTCTGTGTAGTGTACTCAATTGAATATAGGTTGAAAAGGATTTGCAAATCATTGTATTATGCTTTATATTTATGTTTCACATAACATCCCAACTTCACTGGAATTGGGGTTGCACATTTGTTGGTACCCTCAAAGCTCATTATTACTATGCTTCATTTCTCAAGAAAAATGATTCAGTTAAAGGAAGTTGTCTGAGGAGCTCAAAATAAAAATAACAGATATCCATGCTAAAGATAAAGGCTCCCTCTGTGAGCTGTGTTGTGTTCCTGGGACCATAGCTGACAAGATTATTGGTAAATGGACTGTACTTATGTAGCACCTTTCTATCCAACCAGGATACTCTTCACACTACAATCTGTGTCCTCATTTACCCATTCACACAGCACTCTATAGGTCTCCTACAAAACTAACATGTACAATTCATCTATCGAGACTAATCAGTGCTTTAAATCACATTCATACACTGATGGGACACACATCAGAGGCAGTGGACACTTGGACATGTAACTGAATAACAGGGAATTGAACCGCCAACTCTCTGAATTAGAGGATGACTCCCTAAACCACTCAATCACAATCTCAATAAAGATAAAAGTTCACAGGACTGCAGACTAGGGTTGGGCATAATCGTATCGTGTGCAATTAATCGTCAGAAAAACATTAATCGATTACTTTTTGGCACTTGACGATTAATGCCACCAGGCAGAGTCCGCTCGGTGCTCCTCTCTGCTTCAGATATGATGAACGTAAAAAAAAAGTTCTGTAATTTATTTATCTATCAACACAATTTATAATTTAATGTATAGCCTGAAGTCTGTAATTTTGACTCAATTTGGAAAAGATTTTTACGAGCAAATCTTTCCCACTAAATTGGTCATGTGACCAGGACATAAGGGACTCCAGGGGATTAATTGTCAAATTAATCGTTATCGGCTAAATACCATAATTAATCGTGATTAATTTTTTGCCAATATTGCCCAACCCTACTGCAGACAACCTCCCAGGATGTGGATGCAAGAAAAAATGCAATCCCAGTTTGATCACATGGACACTACAGAATACAGATGTTGGACAAGTCAAAACAATCATCTGAAATTATTCGAGCTGAAGTGACGCACCTTTTGTTAAAGTTACATCACTTTTTGATTACACAGTTCGTCACATATTGAATTAAAGTGGGGTCCATGGAGGAAGATCCAGGAGGGGTTCATTATTGAAAAAAAAATGATGATAAAAAAGCCAAATTGGAATTTATCCAAAAAAAATTTTAGATTTTAAATTTTTATTTTATTTTATTAGCCTTTATTGTCCCGCAGAGGGGAAATTAATTCTCCGCATTTTATCCATCGCACAAGCGAACACACGTGGAGCAGTGGGCTGCCAATTACAGCGCCTGGAGAGCTAAAGGGCCTTGCTCAAGAGCCCAAAGTGGGGCTGGTTGATTTGGGGAGTTGAACATCCGATCACAGACTCATATTCTCTAACCTCTTCACCACCCTCTCAAATACATGCTGACCAGCTTTTTGGCCTCTCATAACTGTTTTCAATTATTGCCAACAGGTGCCAACAATTTCATCCACACCTGTATGTTCAGGCTGAAAACTGCAAAAACACGAGCATCACAAATGATCTCACCTTCAGGTATGACCCATAATACTTGGTAACAAAAGGACTGTCACACTGGCTCAACACTGTGATCTCCTGCTGGATGTCTTCTATCTCATCCTCTGCTTCCTCCAGGTCAATAATTTTAATGGCCACCACCTCCTTGGTGCGGTTGTTGATGCCTTTGTAGACCTCTCCAAACGAACCCTTTCCTATTCGTTCCTGCTTGGTGAAATACTCCTCAGGGTCCAGCCGGGTGTTCTGATCAACAAAAAGCAAAGTCATCCCCGAACAAACAAACAGCTGTGTTTACATTTTCATTTGTGTGCATACGTGATTTAATTTGTAGTTTATGCTTAGGTAATAAATAACAAAAATATAGTCGAGGGAAGCAGTCCTCATTTCATCTCACTTAAAGGGATCCCAGATTAGTTGTAACATTAGACTTTATTTGATAAACATATATTTTTAAGTAAAATAAAGACTGTAAAAATACTGTAGGCTGTTTAGTTTTTATAATTTTTAAACTAAAATTTTAAAAATATATTACACGGACGGGGCAATTTTATTTATACACAAAGCATTCTGGGTAAATGATGAC